AATTAGGAGACTCCTTGAAGACTAAGTAGAGTAGGAGGAACATGATCAGAAAGAAAACGCGTGGCTCCAGTGGCGCAATCGGTTAGCGCGCGGTACTTATAAGACAGAAAGAAAACGCAAGAATTTCAAGAAGGAGGGAAAAATCTGTAGCGTCCGGGGCTATAGACAGCAATGTCTTGGTCATAGTTACCGCCACTGCTTACCAGACCCCCATGTTCCAGACACCGTACCCTACTGAGTACCTTACGTGAAGTCTCTCTGTTCTTAACAACACGGTTGCAAAGCAGTGGTGCTGGTAGGGAAAACAGTGACTAACTGTTGAATTCCTTCTCTCTGCCTACTGTTTACTAAGCTCTTTGCACACAATACCTCATTTTTGTTTTTACAGATGAGAAATTTTGCTTGTGAGAAAGATAAAGACAGGGAACACTAACTATAACAACACATAGGGTTAAGGGAGGATACTAGGCACTGAGGATTTCTTTTTTTTTCTTTTCAAGATGGAAGAGCTCTAAGTTGAGTAAGCCAGTAGCACACAGTGGCATAACAGAAAAATGTATCTCAGGGTAAAATAGTTCATAGGAAAATCGCCATTATTAGTTAATAATTTTGGCCCATGGCACTTACTATTCCTGAGTCCTAATTTTGCCCTCTTCAGTTAGATAAAACGGTCACACAGAATAGGCACTCATGGGGAGAAGTCTCTTTCTCTGTTCTGCCTCAGCCTTCACTGCAAACATCTGGTGTTACTCTTGTCTCATTGCATTAAAATTGTCTATTAAAATAGAGTTTCCTTAAGTTGTGTATCTTCTGCAAAGGCAAGGCCAGTCCTTTTTATCATTTCCCCATTTTCCCCGTCAGTTGCCTGGATTGAAGCAAGCAATCAATAAATGTCTGAAGAGAATTAAATTTTTTAACCAGTTATTTCCAATGAGTTAACTATGGCCTTCTTTAACACTAGAAATTTAGATTGAATTTATCTGTCAGAGTCCAAACATAAAAAACTAACTTTGACTAAGGTAAAACAGAAAAGAAAGTTTTGGAAGGATACTAGATCTCTCAGGAAGTTGTCAGAAAGCCTGTAGATCAAGATTGGAGGATACGGCTGCTGAAATCACAGGGTGCCATTATCCATTTGATTAATTCATCTTCAGGGCTCCCCTGGCACTGTGGTCACACTCAACACTACACTGTGAGTGTCTACTGCCATTGATAAACTTCCCTGCATGTCCCTTGATTCAGACTTAAACACACATGTGAAGTCCTTTCAGCTGAGCCTAGTTCTCAGCCTGTGCTCCAGCTATCAGGGAAGAGAGAGAGGATCTTCCTCCTTCCCTTCAGAAGACGTGAGTTCTGCCCCCAATCAGGACCCACACCGTGGGGATAAGCACTTAAAGAGGAAGGGGATTTGGATCCTAAGCTGCCAAGGCAACAGAAATGTCCACTAACCTGACTGAAAGGATTCTGAGTCATTAGTCAAAAGGGAAGGATAACCTTCCCTAGAATTTAAGATATAAATAAGATAGATTCCCAGCTGTCTGAAATGGTTTAGATAATAGTTCTTCTACGAGGCAGAGATAGATTGAAATACAATATATTCCCACACAGTTATCATCTCCTAAAATACTAGAAATATCTTCGTGTCAAAGTCTTATCATAGAAAGCCTGAGAACTGGAACCTGGAATTACATTTCTATTTTTTTTTAGGCCCTTGCTACAAAGAAGTTGCATTTCCTCCCTCAAGTCGGTTGTCTGCTGTTTGCGACTGATAGTGTGCACAGCAGTGCAGCATGTGTGTTTCATGAAAATGTGTGAAAACTGCTTTCAAAAATGCATGCCATCTAGATAAAAGAAAGCTATAAAAATATATTTGGTTGCCACTTCATAGAGCCTATTGAATTTGTCTGTGAATGTGAATCTAATTGCCATTTTTTCTACTAGAGTCTCTGTGAACATTACATTTCCATTAAAAAGAGAAGTCAGCTATAGCAGAATGTATTCCTGTGTTCATACAGGAATCGTAAAAATAAATAATGACCAGTTGATTGCTTAATAATTTATGTTTCTTCTTGATAGACCATTAGAAGAAATAAGCAAAGCCACAGGTACAGAAAATGTCATTCATTGTCAGTAAGGGGGAAAGTTATGTTTTTACTGAAGTGTTACAAACAGCTTCCTGGTTTGATGACTGCTGATTATTCTCCTGTTCTTCATTTATAATCAGAGAAAGTCTCCTTTATTACCTGTTCTCATTACCATGGGATTGGCATAAAAATATTACCACTTGTGTGGTTGAATTTGAGGCCTGAGGGACCCTCACAACTTGGGTTAGAGGGGTCGGACTTAAACTGCACTTGTTGCAGAAAAACCTATTCAATTCTTCATCTGATGGCAGGAATAAACAACATGCTATTTTGATAAATTCAGTAACTTGATGTTCATAGTTGACAGCCCCCCTCCTTCTCGTGGTTTTTCTCCTTCAGTGATTTGAATGGCCTGTGTCCATTTGATGAGTTGACCAGTATGTTTTTTTTTAAATGATTTTGTATTTATTTTGATGCACAGTTGTCAAAGAAAGGGTCTATTCTCACAATTCAGGTAAGGAAATTTGCAGTTAATGAGGAAAATGCACATAAAGATGCCAGATGGAATATTCCTAAAGCACAGCTCCAATCAATATCTCACCCCTGATTAAGTTTAATGTCTCTAAGTCTCTACCTAATTAAGTCCAGAGTTCTGTCCCTGGGCTTCACAGATTTTCATCCTGTAGCCTCTGCCTATTTTCTGAGATTTTATTCTACTTTTTTCCTGTACTGTATGTACAGCCTAGTTAAGTTTGGTGATTCTTAATCCTTGTTGCACATCAGAATCACATAGAAATCTTCAAACAATCCACTGGGTCCACCACATGCTAATTGAAAGTGAATTTGAGGATGAAGCACAGGCATCAGTTTGGTTTGTGTGTGTGTGTGTTTGTGCAGGGAGGGTTAGCTCCTTATTTTGGTTATCTGTTGTTACAAATCCAGCCACCCCAACACTTATTTGTATGAAACAGTATACATTTTATTATGCTCCCAATTCCGTGGGCCAACTGTTTTGACAGGGCACAGCACTGGTAGTGTGCCTTTACTCCATGATATCCGGGGTTTTGGCTGGGACAACTCACACAGCTAGGGATGTCTGCAAGAGCTGGGGGCTGGAGTCATTTGCAGGCTTCCTCATTGACATTGCTGCTGCTCAGGCTGGGATAATGCAAAGGCTCTACTTAGCTAGACCTGTAAGCCAGGTGTTTACTTACATAGGCCTTTCCAAATAGCTTGGGCTTCCTCAAAGCATGGTGGCTTAAGGTAGAAAAACTTCCTATATGGAAGTTCAAGAATCCAGGAGCAAATCCACTGTAAAAAGTGGAATTGCAAAAGCTTTTATGCACCTACCCTCGGAAAGCACATAGCATCACTTCTGTTCCACCATTGTAGCAGTCATGGTCTTTCAGATTCAAGGGGAGGGGACGCACTTCTCTATAGGAAGAATGTCAATGAATTTGTGGACACATTTTAAAGTTACCACACACCCCAGGTGATTCCAATGTACGGGCAGAGTTGAGAACAACTGGATTCATCTTCTTGTAAGCACCCATCTACAAAGCAGCAGTGGGCCTTGGGTGAAGTGAATGAGACACCTAGGGTGCAAAACTTAAGAAAGTCACTCTCAGGATCATGCAAGCACAGGATAGGGATTGAGAGCAAGTGTCTCCTTAGATTCTGTGCTCAAGGGGCCTCACTTGCCACACCCTAGTCCTGACCCTACTACGGAACAACTGTGTATGAATCATTAGGGTGAGGGGGACTTGGATTCCTGGACTAAACAGTACTTTAGTATTGGGATTTGGAAAGCCCAGGTAGGATCTGGGATTCTGTATGTTTACAGGAATCCCCAGTGGACTACTTCCAGCTTCCATGTGCTTTCCTGGGGCCATGCTTTGCTTACGCTCTTCCTTCTGCCTGGAAGTGTTTTCCTTCTATTTCTATCAAGTATGGTGATTTGTGAGGTCCGTTTCATATACTGCTTCTTTTATCAAGCTTTTATTGGTCCCGACAGCCAGAGTGTAACCTGTCCCTCCTAAGAAACCCCTAGCACATTTTACATGCCTTTAAGACACTCACATGTTGATCAGCATTTTGGTTGTGTGTGGGCCTGTCTTATAGAAAGAACGTGTTTACTTTTCTCTGAAGGCCACAAAACGGAGATCTAGATCCTCACTGGTAGAGGCAGAGTCTTGTTTAGACAAGGTTCCTTCTTTTTTTGCCTTATCTTGCTCCCAGACAGCTCAAGTTTGTAACCGACACATACACATTTTAGATGCCCAATAAACTGGATCTCTTTCCTGATGAAAGGTGTGGTCAACTTCCTATTTTTACAGCCTTCGCAGAAGCCCTCAAATACTGAATAATTACCCTCGTTTAAATGTTTTAACACAGATAAGGACTTCGTCTTTATTGTGACTTTGGAAAACTTCATGTTTGAACATCACCTAACAATCCTTGCCCCATAGCAAACGTTTTAAGGAAGCTTACCCTAGGTAGAGTTCATAGCACCGCCACAGGTAAGCCTCAGAACCCTCTGGGGTGAGACCAGCGTGACCATTTTACTGATGAGGAAAAGTGAGGCTTACAGATTATGTCCCTACAGCGCAAGATAACACCGAATGGCTTAATCCCTACACCAAACCAGCTGCTCCTCGCTTGCTGGTATCCATGAACTCCGCCCCCGCCTTTGGGGAGGGTCAGGCAGAGAGGCCACTGGGACTTAAAGCAGGTAGAACTTCTCTGACTTCCTCCCTACTTATGGCATCCACTCTGGGGGGCGGCTGGGGGCGTCCTTACTTTGCTCTTTGGCTGCTCAGGACAAACGCCTTGCCATTCGCCCATTCTGTCTGTCCCGACGACCTCCTCCATCCCTGCACTTGGGGCCCTCGTGGGGCAGGCAGGGGTCCCCAGGTTATCTCCAGCCGTGGTCGATGGCCCTGCCGGGGGCAGAGCCCGCTCCCCTCCGCGCGTTGCTAAGTGCGAGGATGACACCCATCCAGACGCCGTCAGCCGCGGGAAGGGGGAGGCGAGAGTTGGAGCGCGTGGGAGCGGAGGCCGGAGGAGGGAGGGGGGACACCGAGCACAGGGAGCGCGGAGGGAGGCGCGCGCGGGAGCGAACATCCACCAGGATCCCGAGCCGGGCGGCGGCGAAGCAGCAGCTACGGCCGCGCCCTTGCCAGAGTCGGTGCGTCCGCCTAGCCCCGCTCCGCCCGCGGCGATCAGGGCTCCCGAGGATGGAGGATTCCCAGGAGACATCGCCGTCCTCCAACAACTCCTCGGAGGAGCTCAGCTCTGCTCTGCACCTCTCCAAGGGCATGTCGATCTTCCTCGACGTAAGTACAGACAGCTGGAGCTGGGCGGTTGCTTCCCAGCATCTTTCTTTTCCCCGAAAGGAAGGGGTTCGGCTCAGGTGCTGACCAGCTAATGCTTTGTCCCCAGAACACAGGCGAGAACTACCTCCTTTCCCTCCAGAAAACCACCGATGCAAATGCAGGAGGAACGACTGTCCCTTAACTTGCAGCTAGGGCTGTCCCAGACCTGCAGCTTGTGGCTTAACACCCTTAAGAAAATTACAAAAGTTAGATTTTCCAACAGGCTGGATTTCGTAGAGACACTATTGCAAATATAACAGACATTTGAATGCATAGGATATTTTAAAGAGGCACAAGGTGTAGGGGGGTGAGGTGGGGACAGTGTCCCAACTCATCTCTAATGCGCCCTATTTGCAGCCTCCACCCTCGTGGATGCTCTCAAGCAACCCAGCGAGGGAAGCAGTAGAGAATGAGATGCCCTCGTCATCCTCCCCCATACCCCCTCAGAAAACAATTACTTAGAACGTATTTGTTTTTCTTTCTACAGCGAGGGGAAAGATGATTTTCATAATGATTCTTTTTGTCGCTGCCACCTCTTCTATTTTCCCTTTTTCTTTCCTGATATTCTCCTTCTCTGTTCCTCTCTAAGTTCTAATTACTATTGTCATCTCCATCAATTCTAGCTTTTGACTGTTTTCCCTTTGGTCCTATTTCTCACTTCGGTGTCGACTGCCTGCCTTCATTACTCTGATCTGATCACATCCTTTCTTTTTCTTCTGTGCTGTTTTTTTTTGTTTTTTTGTTTTTTTTTTTTTTTTCCCCCTGTATGGTGTGGCTTCTATCTTTACAGCACTTTTATTTCTTATTTATTTTTCAATTTTGTTTTCCTCTCCTTCCTGCTGTTTCTTTTCTCTGTATTTTTCCCTCTGTTGCCCATCTCTTTTCTCTGCTTTGGGGTTTCTCTCAGCTACTTGCCGTGCTCCGGGCTTTCCCAGCCCCTCAGTTGTCATGCTGTCGCCGGAGGTCGTACCTAGCTCAGTGGGGACAATTCTGGCTGCTTCTTGTTTAGGCATGATAGAAAATGTCAAAGGACATGGATGAGCGCTATATGCTCTGTCCTCTACCCTTCTCTGAGTTATCCTTTCTTACTAAAATCAAAATGAGTGGGAGATGGGCCAGAAACCAGATAACGTTTGTTTGTGGAGAGATGAAAATATGAGGAAATCAAATTATTAGTGTCATAATGGTGAGGCAGAGATAAAGAGGATAGGAGGATGTGAGGAGCTCTCCCAAGTTTATTTTGAATGGATTGGCTAGAATTGTTTTTAATTCTAGAGAAAGAAGCTCCTAACAATAATTCAAATTGTTGTAAGGCAAATGATAGAAGCGAGGTTCAACTGTGTGTACTGGCAGCCTTCACCCCTTATCACCTGGTGGCTCCAATTGGAGATCCAGGCATTCTGAGCTGGTCATCGCCTTCCCACCAAATTTCAGGTGTGGTCATTCCTATTCAGCCACCCAATCAAACAGTTAAGTACCTTATCCTTCATGAGCATTTATCTCTGCCTGGCTTGGGTCAATCAGGTGGTGTTATTAGTGCTCATGGCTTAACAGGCTGATCTTATTCAAGTATGCTGTTCAGAGCCATAAAGCCCTTGAGGATGTAGGCTGGGAGAAGAGAAGGGCACCACAACATGCCTGAAAAGTCAAGGCCCCTGGAAATCAAGTCAGTTATGAGGCTGACAATTAAGGGGCCATGGAGTTGATTCAAAGCGGACAAGTGGGGCTTCCATTCATTCTGACTTGATCTTCACTCTGTCCCCCATTGAGATCAAGTGCTTCCTCGTGCTTTTTAAAAAGCAGTTAACAAACCCTGGTGATACTGTGGAGATGAATGGATTAAAACTATACATATGGAAAGTCATCCTCCTGACTCATACACAAGTCATTGCTTAAGTATTCAACTGCAATGTTTTCGAAGAGAAAATTAAAATTTCATTTTTTATTATGCATGCATGATTGTTTCCAAGTCTGTAAACAAATAGCATCAGGTCCCTGTACTAAAGGAACTTGTAGTCTATGAATAGGTTGCTCTTGCCTTTTATATTTCAGAGATTTAAAAATAAAAATATGAAACCAATTCCCTGTGAGAGGTGTTGACATGCTTGTTTGTCAGTAAAATGCTAGAGTCTACAAAAATATCTGCTATTGGATTTTGTCTCGAATGGAAAAGATTTTGTTTACACTTTTCTTTGACTTATTTTGTGAAAAATCTAACACTGGTGAAATATGTGATACAAAAAATGATTTGTTACTTAGGGATTTGTGAATTATTCATTTCTGGATCATACCACTTTTAGCAAAATAAAATGTGAACTATACATTCATAACTTTATTTTATTAGATTTAATATATTCTAGTGGCACTATCAAGAAAGATTACTTTTAAAATTCTCTTCATATTATAATAAATAAATGATAGATATTGCCTGTTCCAAACTGGAACAGGTAATTATCTGTGTGTCGTCTGTATCACACAGATAATTTCCAAATTTGAGGAAAACTTTGATTTGCAGTGCTTTTTATTGCAATGTCACTGGAATAATCAATCATTTAAGAAATGATTTAAACTGCTACTGAGAATACTATTAATGACATGATATACATGACCAGCTGGTTAGAAACATGACCAGCTGGTTAGAAACTAGAGACAGATTTTAACAAGAAAATCAGAGGTAAATTTGCCACAACTGTTGGCTTTTCCTTCCGTATCCTCTCCAAATCAGCAATAGTAATGGCTATGATATTTTCTTAGGCTGTTGTGAGTATGAAATAAGAGCTCATAGTTTGGAAAATGGAAACAAAGCAAAAAGTGTTGCATAAATTTGAAATATTATGGTTATTTCAGTGTTCCACACTGAGTGCATTAAATGACAGTAACAGTAGCTAAATTCACAAACTGATGCAGGGACTGTTTCTTCATGAATCTAATTTATAGAATTGTCTTGCTAGAATATGACAGAATTAAGTATCAGTTCATCATAAATACTCTTGAATACTGACAGGAGGCTTAGAAAACCTAGCACTGGTGCCAAGGTATGCCAGTGCATTGAGGCTGGAGCGAGCATTTGCACACAGCATGCCTGCCAGCCACAGGAGAGGGACTCAACTGGGTCCTGGCAACACAGAGGACTGGGGGATGACTATTGCTTTTCCTTTTACACCAATGAACTATCATTTCCCAGGTTGCTGCAATTCAGCTAACAGAAGAGGAACTCTAGTTTGGAATACTAGTCCATGTAGCATGTGTCTCCTCTTTTGAGTCATTACATTAATCAACTCTGCTACTGTGCAAAGGGAGAAAAACAAACCTTCAACTCATCCCCAAAAGCAAGAGAAATTCCCAAATGAAATTAGTTGCAACTTCACCCACCCAATGCCACTTTCCTTTCCCATCAGTTTTCCTTTTATTTTTAACTGGAAGGGAAGTGACTGTCCCCCATTTCACTGCTGAAGTGGGAATGAGGCTGGAAGGTTGTGAAGGCCGCTTGTCTTCCCCTCCTTCCTTCGTCTAAGCACGCACACTCATGTACACTCTGAATGCAAGATACAGTGCATAGATGGTCAGGAACTTGGTGAAAACAAAAAATAATTTCTCTTCACAACAATACTTAATTCTGAAGCCCCATAGATGCTCATTTGTATGACGTGTGAGATGTATAGAGGACTGTTGAAACAGAACGAGTCTTCCAGATGCAATGGTTCTGTGACTGAACTCTGTGATAGCCACATACCTCCCATCTCACCTCATCACACACACACACACACACACACACACACTTGCTCATTTGAATGAGACTGTCCAGTTCAGAGAATGGCAGTTAATCTCATCATTTTCTACCCTCATTTGCAGTACAAATGTCACTCTTGTAGTTATAGGAACCAGCAGAAATTAGGAAAAAAAACTTAATGCAGGCTGAGCTTAATACCTAGGCGATGGATTGATAGGTGCAGCAAACCACCATGACACACGTTCACCTATGTAACAACCCTGAACATCCTGCACATGTATGTACCCCGGAACTTAAAAAAATAATAAAATAAGTATTAAAAAAACACTTAGTCTTACTGTTATCATACATTAAAAATTTTTTTCCCACACTGGGCCTACCGTAGGCAAAGTTGAGAAGATGAAAATATGTGCGCTGATTCCTTCTCTCCATCCATCTTTCAGTACCTGCTTCCCCATATCCAGTTTCAGGGCAACCAGTGGCCTGGTAGTAAAACTACCTGCTCGAAGTCTGGGTCCACCCACCCTGGTAATGGGAGAGACTCCCGTCTGACCCCAGGTAGTCTAATGATTGAGACACCTGGGTGACCCCAGGCGTTCTAATAGGAGAGACTCCTGCCAACCCTGTGTGGTGGGACTCCATGTTCTGGATTAGTCCTGAGTCCCTGCCTTATATTCCAGTTTCTCAGGAATCTACCTAGGGACTATTTCACCTCATTATCAAATCTTAACCTGATTCCTGGTAGGAGGCACTTAGAAATATTAGTTCAGTAAATGATGATTGTGTCCATTTTTTAATGTTTCAAAGACAACATTTACATTTTAACACCTGCCTTCAATAACAAAGTGATGAATAAGGAATTTTACTTGAGGCCATCAAAGAATATTTTTGAAGTAAAGGAATCTATCTGATAATCTTCAAATTGTAGCAAAAACACAGTATTACTTGTCTTCAAATTTTAAGCCTGACCATAATATTTAAATTTATTTACCATCCATCCAATGGTGGCAACCTTAAGATCAGCTGACACAGATTATTCAGGTACCATGACATAATGAACTTGATTCTCATCCGCAGTACATTTTTCATTGTGGGATCAGAGGCAAAATTTGCAGCCGAGACAGTTCTGTTCATATTTAATTACAAGAACTGTCTTAATAACAAAAACTGCTGTTTTTATTTCATCTTTCAGAGGCTAAATGCTAGTTGAGATTGTTCTTTATGAAATGAA